ATTTACTGGTGTAAAGGGGAGTGTTTAAACCTGAGCCACTGTGATTGGCTAATGTATCATACTTGTCCCAGTCTTCCATCTGATCCCCTAGGGGAGTGTCCACCAGGTGGGAGACCTACATAAATACCGGGAAGGTAGCCCTTATTAAACAGATTCCTGTTTTACCCTCAAGACGGAGCTTGGTCTCGTGTTTGGGGGGATTGCTACTTGGAAGGATTCCTTTTGCCTGTTTTAGCCGAAGAAGGGATTTGGCTGATTTGTGTGTTCGTGGATTTACCGCATTCCCTTACACTCCGTTCAGGAGTTTGGCGGTCTGCTGTACAGAGCCTGTGTCTCTGGAAAGGGGGAATATCGGCTAAACGTCAGTTTCATCCATTTAAGCTGTGAGTGTCTTAACAGGAAGCGTCTCCTTTCGGGACACGAATGCTACCCCTGGCTGGTGTTCATCTGTGGTCACCCAGAGAAGCGCTCATTAATTACTTCCCTTGCAGTTTCACACTTATATTGCAAGTTGCCAACGTTCTAATTGATTGGTGTGCAAGGGACACTGGGGAGGTCCTCGTTCAGGAGCCGAACGAGTTTGGAAGAATTCCGCGAATGCTCCTCCTTGACTGCATTCATTTAACGAACGGGCCACCATCCAGGGTTGGCATGCACTGAGGCTTCCCTTGTGGTTTCTGGTTTTCACACCTTACTAACGAGGTGTGAACATTCTAAACAAACATTCTAAATGGGGTATCGAAGTGGTCCCTGTTTGAGAGGGGAACAGGACCTGTTCGTATGGGGCCTCACGAATGGGGAGTAAGTAGTATACAAGAATATAACACAATGTAGGGAAAAAATACGGGGAATGACACACAGCAATTCACGAACAGGCAGCGGTCCCGCCACACTCTCCATTTCTCCTACCAAGATACTCTGTCTCTCCCCAGAATCCTCTCCATTTCTCCCACCAAGATACTCTGTCTCTCCCCAGAATCCTCTCTATTTCTCCTACCAAGATACTGTGTCTGTCCCCAGAATCCTCTCAATTTTATTTCTTTATTTATAAAATATTTTACCATGAAAGAAACATTGAGATTTATCTTGTTTTCAAGTATGTCTTGGGTCCACAAAACATTGCATTGATACAACAGGGTACAATAAAATACAAAAACAATATTAATACACAATATATACAAAATTTAACATAGAACAGGTAGGAAATATAATCAACCATGACACGTGCATTCTTTTTTTAGGTATGTAGAGAGGGATCTCTTAAAGGACTTTAAGCTTGGAGAAGATTTGAAAGTGTGCGGGAGGTTGTTCCATAATTGCAGTGCTCTGTAGGAAAAGGAGGATCGGGCTGCTTTCTTTTTGTATTGAGGTAGACTAAATAATGTGCTGGTACTGGATTGGAGGTTATAGGAGGTGGGAACTTCCCAGAAAAGGTGGTTGGGAGCTTCCCAGAAAAGCTCTTAAACACTAGGCTAGAAAGATGAACAAAGATACTCTGTCTTTTCCCAGATTCCTCTAGATTTCTCCCACCAAGATACTCTGTCTCACCTCAGAATCCTCTCCTTTTCTCCCACCAAGATACTCTGTCTCTCCCCAGAATCCTCTTAATTTCTCCTACCAAGAAACTCTCTCTCCCAAGAATCCTCTCCTTTTCTCCCATCAAGATACTCTCTTTTCCCAGATTCCACTCCATTTCTCCCACGAAGATACTCTGTCTCTCCCCAGTATCCTATCCATTTCTCCTACCAAGATACTCTGTCTCTCCCCAGAATCCTATCCATTTCTCCTACCAAGATTCTCTGTCTCTCCCCAGAATCCTCTCCATTTCTCCCACCAAGATACTCTGTCTCTCCCCAGAATCCTCTCCATTTCTCCTACCAAGATACTCTCTCTCCCCAGAATCCTCTCCATTTCTCCTACCAAGATACTCTGTATCTCCCAGAATCCTCTCCATTTCTCCTACCAAGATACTCTGTCTCTCCCCAGAATCCTCTCCATTTCTCCTACCAGTATACTCTGTCTCTCCCCAGAATCCTATCCATTTCTCCTACCAATATACTCTCTCTCCCCAGAATCCTATCCATTTCTCCCACCAAGATACTCTGTCTCTCCCCAGAATCCTCTCAATTTCTCCTACCAATATACTCTGTCTCTCCACAGAAACCTATCCATTTCTCCCACGAAGATACTCTGTCTCTCTCCAGAATCCTATCCATATCTCCCACCAAGATACTCTGTCTCTCCCCAGTATCCTATCCATTTCTCCTACCAATATACTCTGTCTCTCCCCAGAATCCTATCCATTTCTCCCACGAAGATACTCTGTCTCTCTCCAGAATCCTATCCATATCTCCCACCAAGATACTCTGTCTCTCCCCAGTATCCTATCTATTTCTCCCACGAAGATACTCTGTCTCTCTCCAGAATCCTATCCATTTCTCCCACGAAGATACTCTGTCTCTCTCCAGAATCCTATCCATTTCTCCTACCAAGATACTCTGTCTCTCTCCAGAATCCTATCCATGTCTCCCACCAATATACTCTGTCTCTCGCCAGAATCCTATCCATTTCTCCTACCAAGATACTCTGTCTCTCCCCAGAATCCTATCCATTTCTCCCACGAAGATACTCTGTCTCTCTCCAGAATCCTATCCATGTCTCCCACCAAGATACTCTGTCTCTCCCCAGTATCCTCTCCATTTTTCCTACCAAGATACTCTGTCTCTCCCCAGAATCCTATCCATTTCTCCTACCAAGATACTCTGTCTCTCCCCAGAATCCTATCCATTTCTCCTACCAAGATACTCTGTCTCTCTCCAGAATCCTCTCCATTTCTCCTACCAATATACTCTGTCTCTCCCCAGAATCCTCTCCATTTTTCCATCCAAGATACTCTGTCTCTCCTCAGAATCCTCTTTATTTTTCCTACCAAGATACTCTCTCTCCCCAGAATCCTCTCTGTGATGAACTGAGCCTCGTCACATGTTCTTGAAGGGGCCTGCTGACCAGCCTCTTACCAAAAGACTATGGGCCCTTTAAAATACTATGTGAACAGACTTGGTTTGTGAGATTTTATATTTGGTTCGAGAACCGTACAGCCGCACCAACCGGAGACCACCCTGAAGCTCGTTAAGCCTAATTTCCACCGCTGTGTTCTAAGTGTTCGTCTGCGTGGCCACAATTCCTATGAACGACCACGAACTGGCGGCCATCTTGTTTGCATGAAAGCGGGCAGCGGTGTTTGGGCATCTTATGGTATTGAAAACACACAGAAACTTCCAGCATCAACTGCATTTGGTTCTACAACACTTAGAAAGGCGCTATTCGGTGGAAACGTTCCCACGAACAAGGGGATCAAGCTCCAGGGTAAGACTATTGACTCTGTTCGTTTTAAACTACCAAACTAGACTGGCCGCAAGCCCTTGTTCTCTGGAACTGTTGTGGGCATGGGACCATGCGGGCGGTCGGTCAAATTATGAACCCCTGAACTGATCTGGGTGATTTTTTAATATGTTGATCACCCAGATCAGGGCTATCATTGTAACTTTTGTAGAGTTTTTGTGTGTTTTAAGGTATTTTTGGGGGTTTGTAAGAAATGTGTGGGGTTTTTTTTGTGCCTGCAGATAATTGAGTTTAATACAGTGCTTGACTCAAGTATCTCCCAGGCACAGAGGAGGGATTATCTTGTTTTAAGTGGGAGTGTCCTGAACCTGAGAGCCAATGTGATTTTTACTGTAGTCTGCTCTCTTGCATGGGGACCTGCATATAAGGCCAGTTGTGGCTACCATTAAACAGATTTTGTTTTACCCTTCATGAAGTCTAGGCTCATGTTTGGGGGATTGGAGAGCTATATTCACTCTGGGGATTGCTATAATCACTATACTCCCTTGGATCACAATACTATACTCACTATACTCCCTTGGATCTTGTAGAGCAGCTTGCTTCACTCTCTGGACTAGGAGAGGTCTACCCACTGGAAGCTGGATCTTGGTTTTGGGTCCATGGTGGATGGAGGACAGCGAGACCCCAACCAATCTGCGGCGGTTTGTGGGGTTTATGATGGTTATAGTACTCAAGGATTACTAGGAAGCAAAGATTGACGGAGGTACCCAGTCGGGGTGCCAGACGGTCCGTCACACTCTCCATTTCTCCTACCGAGATACTCTGTCGCCACCTAGGATCTTTGTACAGTCTTACCTAGATGCCCTTTTCAGTCTCCCTCTGAATATTATCATTATTACCGCTTGAATTATTTTAAGAAATTCTCTGAAATATTTTTAAAGACCGCTAGAGAATCATATCACTACAACCCTTCCCTTCACTCACAAACCGTCTAAAATCAGGAACCATCCAATACCTTCTGCCCCTCATTTTTTTTATCTTGTGTTTCTCCGTTTTAGGACCTCAAAATGGTATTTTGGAGTATTTTTACATTCATGATAATGTGCAGTGTGTAACACCAAGCTCTACAACAATAGAATTCACAGTAATGTGCAGTATGTACGAGTGTATCACCGAGCTCTACAACAATAAAACTCACAATAATATTCAGTGTGTATGAGTGTATCACAGAGCTCCACAGCAATAAAATTCACAGTAATGTGCAGTGTGTATGAGGGTATCACAGAGCTCCACATCAATAAAACTCACAGTAATGTACAGTGTGTAAGGCCCTTGGGAGATAGCGCTGCTAAGCAGGCAAGGGCACATGTATGAGTGTGGGGATAGATGCGTGTGATTGGTTGTGTATGTATGTGTGGGTGGGATTATGGGGTGTGTGAGTTTAGTGGGGGTGGTTTTACCTCAGTGCCACTTGGGATTCGGGCAAGCAAATAGCTTCCTGTCCTCCTGTTTCTGTTTGTCCTTGGCCTGTAGGTTTACCAGCTTAAGAGATGGAGGTTGAGGCTTTTCTGGCTTCCCTCAGAGCTGCTGCAGCATGGATGGTGGCCGGCAACTCCATGTGCTCGCCTGCTGGTGTGGGTCCCCTCCTGTCTCCTTCAGGGGCATTCCCGCCCACCGGCTCAGCTACCCCTGACACTACTCCTCGGGCCTAGTTGAGGTGTGGGAGCCCGGGGACACACTGCCTGCAACTGATACTCCGTATGCACGGCCTTACCGGCCTCTGAGTTGGACGGTGGACGGCCGACCGCACCTCCCCAACGGCGTGTAGCTGCCCAGCGGCCTTCTCGATCCCGCGGCAGGTGGGGCTGTGTCCAGGGCTCCAGCGGTGAGTGGGCATGGTAGGGCCATGCGGGTAGCTCGGTACCGCCGTTGAGGACTGGGGGAGGACCTCATGAGGGCCGGGAGCCTCCTCTGCCGATGAGGTAGGCTCCCATGGGTCTCTCTCCCCTGTCCCCCATTCTGTCTCTTTCCCCCACCCTCCTTTTAATGGTCTTACCCTTGGGTCCCCTATGTGTCTGCCAGGGGGTCCAGCTTGCTCTGGGAGCCCCCTGGTTTCCCTCCTGCTTCTTTCTGTCCTTCTGCCCCCCTCTTCTGCCCCCCTCTTCCCCCACCTTTCCCTTTTCTTCTTTCCCTCCTGTAGCGGTTACCCCGGGTAGTAGAGGGGTTTCCACCGCTGGAGGGTGTCCTTCTTCCGATGAGTGAGGTGTATTCTCAGCATCCAGTAGTCTTCCAGGTGCGAGAGAGCTCTTACAAAAGATCTAGCGTGATTAGCTGTATAGCTGGTTACCCCCAATAAGAGACAAAACTCTAAATTGAGGGTGAAGAAGAACTGACTCCAATGAGCATTTATTCCTGCTTATATACAACTTTCCCAGAAAGGTTACCACCCACGTGGACCTTGTGGGGCACTGGAACTGTAAACTTAGCAACCAATCAAAGGCACATGGATAATTACACCCACTTATTACAATAAGAATCCTCCCCTCTGCTTGGGAGATAATTGAGTTAATTACTGTATCAACTCAATTATCTCCAAGCTAAAAAAACATACTTTTATGCAATTTTTGTAACTTTGTGATTTTACATACAATTGTGAATTTACATACAACCAGTATAACTTGGGGGCAAACATATCCAAAATTCACTTGAATCGGTTCAGTGGTTTGGGAGATAGGTTAAAGTCCTTTTAACCGACCGCACGCAGGTTTTTCTGCCCGAAACAGTTCCACAAATTCGGGCTGTGCAGTCGGTCTAACTTCTCGTTCACATTTAGTTCAAATTGCATGAACGGATTGTGACGAGACCAATCTCGCCAAATTGCATTGGAGAAGCCTGGTTGCTCGCCTGCTGCCTCTGGACTATGGCCCCCCTGTTAAAAGACTTTATTTCGCCTGCAGAAAAGCTGTATTCGTGCTTTTCTGCCGGTTGTTCGGTAGATTCAATCTACCGAACAACCGCACGAATGAATAGACCACCTGGGAGCTGGAGTGTGCCGGCAATTAACCTCCCTGAAGCTGCGGTTAACTGCAGCTTAATTGACGAATGCTGGGTGGCCGCCATTCGTATCCCGAACACGAGGTCGCGGCCATTTTAAACATACGAATGCACAGCGGTGTTCGCCCCTATTTTCATGGAACTAAAATCGGACACAGTTTTGCGCGAACACCGCTGAAGCCGCCGACCTCCCTTCTTGTTCGGTGGAAGTGCACGAACGGCCCGGTGTTCGGTAGTTTTGTTTGAATGTGTTATACCCCAGATAGGAATCCCATGGAGCCCATTCGTATGAAACTGACTGTAAAGACTTTGGCTCCATGGCGATTAAACTGTATTCGTGTGGTCTGAGCGCCATTCACTTAATAATGTGCGCTCAGACCTGAGCTATCTGAGGATATGTTAAATGTATAGTTTTGGTGTAATGTGTCTTACCTGGTGTATTTTAACAGTAATGCTTGTTTTGGTATCCCCATGTGCATAATGGAGATTTGCCTTTGTCTTGGGAGATAATTGAATTACTGAATTACAGGGCAGAGGGGAGGAAGCCAGGATGCATTGTGGGAATATACTGTGACTGTGTGTCCTATTTGTCTGCTTGTCTGTCCCTTGTCACAGTCTCCCATCTGGTCCCCTAGGGGAGTGTCCACCAGGTGGGAGACCTGCATAAATACTGGGCAGGTAGCCCTCATTAAACAGACCACTGCTTGACCCTCAACACGGAGCCTTGTCTCGTCTTTGGGGGGATTTACTGAATGCTGATAGAGACTGATTGATAGGAGTGTAAGCCACTTGGATGCTTTTCCTATTCGTCTGGTAGCAGCAATTCGTATGGTTCCTGTTTGTCTGTTTGGAGTGCTCTATTGGATGCCGTTCGGGAGTTTGGAGCATTCACTTATTGGCGGTTCGTGTGTTTAGTGTTCTGTAGTAGCTGTGCCTGCATCCCTGAAAACGGGGCCGATCGCCTAAACGTTTTTTTCCCCTTTTGTGCAAAACGGTCCGTTACACGGATCGATTCATGCTTAATGTCAGTGGATGCGGCTCGTTCAACAGTTTGTTCCATAGAATAGCCCTGTACGTATGGGTTTAGCCGAACGCACTGAAGGTAGAAGTTTCAGCGGTGTTCGTGTGAAAAAGTAGCCGAAAATGGTTCCACACGTTCGACGACCAAACACCGCTGAGTTCAACTAAACAAAATGGCCTCCGCCACATGTTCGCATAAGCGAACGCCGACCACCCTGTATAACAATTAGAACGCTGCGGTTTTCCTTGATTTGGAGGTGTTACACGAGGCAGGGAGGTTAACGAGATCCACACTTCTGTTCTTGGTGGTTGGTCGTTCAGTAGAAAATTCGTAATCCGAACGGCTTTCATTATAACAGTAGGCTAGGTGTATTTAGACGAATGATTTAAACGAACGGCCTTTTAAAAATCCATACAGGGGTTTTGTTACACCTCCCTTGTTTTATCCCTGCTCTTTCCGGGTCCCCTCTGCCCTCCTCACCTTCCCCCTGTTCTCTCTGTGTCCCCTCTCTATCTCCCCTCCCGCACCCCCCCCAAGCTGGTCGGCTGCCTCCTGGTGTGGAGCGTGGTCTCACCTCCTCTCCATTGCTCTTCTCACAGGTCCTGGCTGCTGTTACTGGAACTGCCCAGCAGGTGGCGCCTGGAACAACTTTGAGAAACACAGTGGACTCTGGTTTTCATATCTATCTGCTTCTGTGCTTGCTGTGCTGCGGTCGGAACGCCAGGCTTCCACAGGTAAGTGTGGTTCTTCCCTCCTCGGTTAGTCATTCAGGTCTCTTATTGGGGGGGGGGGTCCTCTCAGGTCTACGTGGGTTTCTAGATCAGTAGGAGCAGGGGGCGGCAGTTCACTGGGAGTCCATTAGGTATAGTCGACTCGGGTCTGTTTGTCGTAACTATGGAGGGCTGGGTTGGTAGAAGTATGGCTGGTGGTGTGACCCTCGTTTGTCCTCTGCAGGGCGCTTTTCTGTCCTTTCTTTGGGGGGCCGGTGGGGTTGTTGTACCCTCCTGGGGGTTCGGTGAATTGTTGACGTTGCTGCCGAACTCCTCCAGCTTTCCTACGCGTCCTTCGATGCATGGTACGGGCAAGGGTGAATGTGGAATTGGCTTTCCGGCTGCTTCCGGTGCACCCGGATGGTCACCGTCTCCTGGGTTGTACCTTTAACGGTCAGTTTTCTGTGGATATGTGCCTCCGTAGGGGTGGCTTCCTATCCTGTTTGTTTCGAGAGCTTTAGCACTTTCCTGGAATGGGTGGTGCGTAGGGAGGTGGGGGTCGGTCCCCTTCTGCACTGCCTGGACGGCTTCTTGTGTGTAGGGCCAGCAGAGTCGCATTTCTGCGCTCTGCTGCTGTGGGTTCTGGGGGACATTTTTCGGTGTTCCGTTGGCACGTGAGGACACCGTGGGTTCGGTTACCTGCCTTAGTTTCCTGGGCATCGGGCTAGATTCCGTGGCTGGGGACTGTCGGTTGCCCCTGACTAGGGTTCATGAACTCCGGTGGAAGGTGTCGCTGGCTTTGGGGCGACATGTGATTCAGCTGCGCTGCCAGCAGTCCCTCCTAGGTAAGCTGGAGTTTTGTCTGTCGGATTTGACCATGGGGCTGTCTGGGATTCCTTCTTGGCCTCCTATATTGGTAGAATGTACTGGCAGGCCCTGGAGGTCTCTAACACTGACTTCCGCCTGTTTGCCGCTGCAGCAGGCTCGGGAGGTTTTGGGGCCATTTTGGCTCTCAATGGTGGGGCTGACTCTTGGCCAGTAGGTGTCATTGGAGGTGTGGGGTTCCCACCTTACGGACAGGTGGGTAATTTTTCCATTGCGACAATCTGGGGGTGGTGCCGGCTGTCAATCACTTGACTGCATCCTCTGCCCTGGCAGTACGCTTGCTGCAACACCTAGTTCTGCGCTGTTTGAGTCTTAATGTGTCTGGTAGGGCGGGGCATATCCCCGGGGTTCACGATGTATTGGCCGAAGCTCTCTCTCATTCACAATGTGATGTACTTCAGGCAGTGGCTCTGCAGGCCTAATTGGAGGGCATCTCGTGCCCGGTGGAGATGTGGTCACTTGGTTCGGCGGACTGGTCCCGCTACAGTGTGGTGTGGAGTGTCGGGGATGGGTAGGAGTGTTCCCTCTGGGATTTCCAGGATTCATCCACTCGCTTACAGGGTTTGGAAGTCTGCGGGGTTGTCCCCCACCGCAATTTCTTAGCGCTTTGCCGGGCTTAGGTTCCTGTTCAAGTTCTGGCCGTCTCAGCGGGCCGTACTGTTGTCTTTGGGAAGGGTAAGTGGGTCCGATCCGGGTTCTGGCATTTGTCCCGTTTTATCCTTCGGAGAGTGCTGTTCCTTCTACCCGGCGTCTCAGGTTCCCCCCCCCCCCTTTAGGTTTGCGAGGACTGAAGCTTTCTCTCCCACTTCCAACTCGTTAGGGTGTTCCGCTTGGGGCTTGAATTCCTGGATATTGATGGCAGGGAGTTCAGGGGGCATTCATCCATGTTGGGGCTGCTACAGAGGCCTCTAGGCTTGGCATGCTGGCGCGAGTGGTTCTTAGATTCATGAGGTAGGAGTCAGGGTTCCTTATGTTTGCCCTGCCGGGATCTGGTGTTGATTTCGCTCCGCAGGTCAGGTTCCCCCCCCGTAATATGATCATGTCTCTTTGGCCAGGACGCGTGCGGAGGTCCGGCCTAGGGGGCCAGTGTTTGGGCCTTACGCCTTCTCCAGCGAAGGTTCGGTGGTTTGGCACCAGAGGCATGAGATGGGTGCGGCTCCTCCCTGACCTGGTTCAGCTGTCCTGCCACCTGGGGGGGTTCTCAGTGTTCTTGTCGTCCATCGGGGAGGAAGGGGCAAATGACCTGGGTCAGTGCTCGTTTGGGATTTTGTGTTAACCGTAAAACTAGACATGGCACGCATTCTAGTTTTCTTCCCAGATGTCTACCGGGTCTGGGCTGAGGTTATCACCCGTTATTTCTGGCAGCGCGCTCAGCAATCTGAGTGCCCGGGTACGCTGCCATTGGAAATTGAACAAGATGGTTTCTAGGTTTGTCTTGGGGGTTTGGATTCCAGTTCGCCATAGAGTTATGAGTGGGATGTGGCCAAGCTATATCGAGTGGATGCACTTGATGGAGGTCGGGCTCAACCTCTTTTTATCTCACTCTGCATGAAGCGGTGGAACAGGACATGGATGGTTTTGGTGGGGTCCCCCGCTTATTTTAGGCATAAAACAGTGAGTTTGTGGCTTGGGATATGTCCTTGCCAATTAAATTTGAGGTGGTTATGTTAATAATGTGGAATGAAGTGAACAAGTTTTTAGGTTTCAACCTTCCCTGCTGGTTACCTGTTATGTCGTGCCCACCGACAGTGGCATCACTAGGGGGGGGCCAGAGGGGGCCATGGCCCCCCTACATCATGCTGTGCCCCCCCCCAAATGCCGGCAACTTGCTGGCCATGTGCTTAAATGATATTCCATCGGGCTGTAACAGTCTGTGACAGCCCGAGGGAATACAGGACAGAACAGCTGGAACGGTGCTGGGTGTTGTCTGTGGCCGGAGGGAGCACTGACAGGCTCCCCAGCACAGGCCCAAAACGAAGCCCCGCCTCCTTGCTGCTGCTGGAAAGGATGGAAGATGGCTGTCTGACCGCCCAGCAACAGCCTACAGTAACAGGTAGGCTTGATATGCTTGTGTGTGTGTGTGTGTGTGTCTGTCTGCTAGTGAAGAAGCTTGTCACAGACTCAGCAGTCTGTGTGTGTGTGTGTGTGTCTCTGCTAGTGAGGAAGCTTGTGTGTGTGTGTATGGACTCAGCAGTCTGTGTGTGTGTATGGACTCAGCAGTCTGTGTGTGTGTGTATGGACTCAGCAGCCTGTGTGTGTGTATGGACTGAGCAGTCTGTGTGTGTATGGACTCAGTAGAGTCTCTGTGTGTGTGTGTGTGTGCATGGACTCAGCAGTCTGTGTGTGTGTGTGTGTGTGTGTATGGACTCAGCAGTTTGTGTGTGTGTGTCTGTGTGTGTATGGACTCAGCAGTCTGTGTGTGTGTGTGTGTGTGTGTGTGTGGACTCAGCAGTCTGTGTGTGTGTATGGACTCAGCAGTCTGTGTGTGTGTGTTCTGTGTGTATGTCAGTTGTGTCTGTGTGTGTGTGTGTGGACTCAGCAGTTCTGTGTGTGTGTATGGGACTCAGCAGTCTGTGTGTGTGTATGGACTCAGCAGTTTGTGTGTGTGTGTGTGTATGGACTCAGCGGTTTGTGTGTGTGTGTGTCTGTGTGTGTATGGACTCAACTGTTGTGTGTGTGTGTGTGTGTGTGTGTGTGTGTGTGTGGACTCAGTAGTCTGTGTGTGTGTGTGTGTTGTTTGTATGGACTCAGCAGTTTGTGTGTGTGTGTCTGTGTGTGTATGTATGGACTCAGCAGTCTGTGTGTGTGTGTGTGTGTGTGTGTGTGTGTGTGTGTGGACTCAGCAGTCTGTGTGTGTGTATGGACTCAGCAGGCCCGTGTGTGTGTGTATGGACTCAGCAGTCTGTGTGTGTGTGTATGGACTAGCAGTCTGTGTGTGTGTATGGACCAAAGTAGGCCTGTGTGTGTATGGATCTCAGTGTGTCTGTGTGTGTGTGTGTGTGTGTGTGTAAAGGGACTCAGCAGTTTGTGTGTGTGTGTGTCTGTGTGTGTATGGACTCAGCAGTTCAGGTGTGTGTGTGTGTGTGTATGACCAGCAGTCTGTGTGTGTGTGTGTGTGTGTATGACTCAGCAGCCTGTGTGTGTGTGTGTGGACTCAGCAGTCTGTGTGTGTGTGTGTGTGTGTGTGTGGACTCAGCAGTCTGTGTGTCTGTGTGTGTATGGAATCAGCAGTCTGTGTGTGTGTGGACTCAGCAGTCTGTGTGTGTGTCTGTGTCTGTGTTAGAGAGTGGGAAGAGCTGTAATGTGTTCCTGCAGTCTGCTGGGCCCCCTCTGCAAGTACAGGGAGCCGGGGGGCCCCACCATGCCACCGGACCCTCAACCATATATCTGGCTCGAGATGTACCTATTATCGGACCACATGCCAACTCTCTGAAATCACTGTCCACCTTTCAGCCTTCCCCTGGCTGGCTGAGTATGAGGGGATCGGAGTCCACAAGTGATTGTGTGCCGAAGGTTAGAACTTCACTGCTGCAGCCACCATATACCATCACGAATCCATACTGAAATCTTTATTCCCTATCCTTACTTAACCATTTCATACCCGGAGTCTGTGTAACAATATGACTGCTAATCATATTGACTCTCATAGCTGAACTCTGCAGTGATGGGTCATTGTGTAGGAAGGGGTTAATCGGCACCTACTGTACAATCCACAAAAATGTGGAATGCAGCTCTAGATGGCTCTGCATTAGATCATTTGTGACACCTGTCCTGGCTGTCAGTGTACACAGTGCTGGTTCTGTTGGAGATGCTCTGTATTGGAATGCCATTAACCCTCTAATACCTGTAATGTAATGCCAACCCAGAAACCATCTCTTTAAAATAACCCTCTCTGTGCTAAATTACTAAATAATGAATCAGCAATGATACCAGGGATGGAATCTCCCCCCCTCCCTGAACCACTGACACACTGCATCCACTACACTGACACACACTCTGCATTCACTACACTAAAACACTACATCCACTACACTGACACACACTCTGCATTCACTACACTAACACACCCTCTGCATTCACTACACTGACACACACTCTGCATTCACTACACTAAAACACTGCATCCACTACACTGACACACACTCTGCATTCACTACACTGACACACACTCTGCATCTACTAAACTAACACACCCTCTGCATTCACTACTCTGACACACCCTCTGCATTCACTACACTGACACACACTCTGCATTCACTACACTAAAACACTGCATCCACTACACTGACACACACTCTGCATTCACTACACTGACACACACTCTGCATCTACTAAACTAACACACCCTCTGCATTCACTACTCTGACACACCCTCTGCATTCACTACACTGACACACACTCTGCATTCACTACACTGACACACACTCTGCATTCACTACACTGAGACACTGCATCCACTACACTGACACACACTCTGCATTCACTACACTAACACACCCTCTGCATTCACTACACTGACACACACTCTGCATTCACTACACTAACACACTGCATCCACTACACTGACACACACTCTGCATTCACTACACTAACACACCCTCTGCATCCACTACACTGACACACACTCTGCATTCACTACACTGACACACACACTGCATCCACTACACCGACACACACTCTGCATCCACTACACTGACACACACTCTGCATTCACTACACTGACACACACTCTGCATTCACTACACTGACACACACACTGCATCCACTACACTGACACACACTCTGCATTCACTACACTGACACACACTCTGCATTCACTACACTGACTCACTCTGCCTTCACTACACTGACACACACTCTGCATTCACTACACTAAAACACTGCATCCACTATACACACACACACTCTGCATCCACTACACTGACACACTGCATTCACTACACTGACACACACTCTGCATTAACTATACACACAGCATCCACTACACAAACATCCTGTATTCACGGTACACACACTACATCCACCACACATTCAAACACTCTGCATTCACTATACAGAGACACTGCGTCTAATACACACACAACATCCACTACAGACACTACATCCACTAAACACATTGCGTCTAATACACACAAACACCAAATCCATTACACTAACACACACTACATCACTGTACACACACTACATCCACTACTCAAACACACTCTACATTTACTATACACATTGCATCCGCTACACAAACACACACTCTGCATTCACTGCACAAACATTATCTAATACACACAAACACTACATCCATTACACACATTCTAATTAACTTCCACTATACACACCACATTCAGTCGTGCATCACTGACAGCGGACTAGGTAGGAGTCCTGTGGGCGGTCTCGTGGGTGGGGGGGCACACCTTGTGCTTTGTCAGGGGCCCCAAAGTTTCTGATGGCAGCCCTGCAGGTCTGTGTCTTATAATATCCTGGGACAGTCAGTGTTCCCTGTATAGTGCTGCTCTCTGTCATGGGATATTATACACAAACAGACATACAGAGAGCAGCACTATACAGGGAGCACTGACTGTCCCGGGATATTATACACCCAGTCATGTATTATACAGAGAGCAGCACTATACAGGGAGCACTGACTGTCCCAATTTATTATACACACAACCCTGTGACTGACTGTCCAGGGATATTGTACACAGAAAGTAATTGATAGCTGTGCTGCAAAATGTCCTTGGAAATTTTTTTTCAAATGTTGGCAACTATGGCACTGTATCAAGGATAATGTGTTTGTTTTTTTAATAATCCCTGGTGGAAAATAATGAATCCTCCACCAGGGATTATTAAAAAAAACCAACACATTGTGTCGGGGGTGGGGCTTAACATGCGGCAGGGGCGGGGTCAAACTGCGGCGAGGACGGGGTTAAATGTACCCCCCTACTTTTGTCCCTGGCCCTCCATGTGCCCCCTTAAAAATCAATCCTAGAGTCGCCACTGCCCACCGAGCAAGGAAAAGGTCAGCTGGTGATAAGCATTGGAAGGAAAAGGAGTTTATGCTGAGAGGGGAGGTGAGAGGACGTGGCACATGGTCAGTTTTTTGGCAAGGACGGTTGGGTTACACTGTATGACACTATGTGTTAAGTTTAATGTTAAGTTATGGTTATTTATGTTTTGACGTTTTGGTTATATCAAGGAAAAGAGAATATTAAAATAAATGATGGATGTGTTATAATAATAAATGCTGTGGCCTGTTTCATCCATACTACGTTGTCTGTCATTATTTGGGGGGTGAATTGGGTTATTTTATGTTATTATGCTGCATCGCGATTCCCCACTACGTACATACATGAGCGTATCACAGAGCTCCACAACAATAAAACTCACAGTAATGTGCAGTATAAGTGTATAAAAAACACTCATACACACTGCACATTACTATGAGTTTTATTGCTGTGGAGCTCTGATACACTCATACACACTGCACATTACTCTATCAGAGCTCCACAGCAATTAAATTCACAGTGATGTGCAGTGTGTAGAAGTGTATCACAGAGCTCCACAGCAATAAAACTCACAGTAATGTGCAGTGTGTATGAGTGTATCACAGAGCTCCACAGTAATAAAACTCACAGTAATGTGCATTATGAGTATCACAGAGCGCCATAGCAATAAAACTCACAGTAATGTGCATTATGAGTATCACAGAGCGCCATAGCAATAAAACTCACAGTAATGTGCAGTGTGTATGAGTGTATCACAGAGCTTCACAGCAATAAAACTCACAGTAATGTGCAGTGTATAGGAGGGTATCACAGAGCTCCACAGCAATAAAACTCACAGTAATGTGCAATGTGAGGGTATCACAGAGCTCCACAGCAATAAAACTCACAGTAATGTGCAGTGTATGAGTGTATCACAGAGTTTCACAGCAATTAAACTCACAGTAATGTGCAGAGTGTATGAGTGTGAGTGTATCTCATGCTGAAAGGTAAATCGCGTAAAATCTATATGGTTTATGGTCACTACTACTTTTAGATTGTTATCCATGTTTTGGTTTAAAAAAGACTATCACTGTATCCATTGCTAGGGGTCTCTGAAATCCGATGCCAGTCTGTGCTTATTTGCATGTCAAGTCTAGAACTCTGGGATAGTTGTGAAAATATGATTTCTTCAGTTTCTATGCCCAAGAAGGACCCCTCAAAGTCTATATTGATAAATGCAGGTAATGCACAACTGTAATTTTTCTATTTGCATTATAAAGAGTTTTATATTTGGTCTCAACACAATCGTGTTGGTACCCAACTGTATGCAGAGTTATCAACATTTCGGGGTTTCCACCAATGTGCAGAAATAACGTCAAATCAGTAAAATTAGCCATCGAGCCACTCACCTATGTGCCAGCTTTGATGTATATGTCACCACCTGATGAGGCGAAACGCAGTGTGGTTAATTTTAAAGATTATTTTAATATTAAAGGAATATTAGCCACTTTTATTTTTGTGCCAGACACCTTTTTTTTCTACTTTTATTTTATTACTTCTATTTTATCTACCTGGCCTCCAATCTATAGCCGCAAAGAAGACCTCACTAAAAGAATCCCAGGTGGGGATCATATTACCTACGCCTTATACATTGAGCAGTTTGTCCTGCTCAATTAAATGGGAGTATAAGACCTTTTATATTTTAAATTGGTTTTATACAGAGAACACTATTGCTCCCTGTTTCTCTCTGCTGGGTCACCATATTGCTGAGAAATCTGCGGGACATGTCATCACTAATATACCACCAGTGGGGGACCAACAGCACTGAACGCATACTACACCATACTATAAAATGGGAGTAAGACCATAACGATCTACACATGACTTATTACCCATTTGTGGAATACTGCACCTTTGTGGTTTCTCCTTTAACTCTCTGTGGATACGGATTTAAAGTTGTCTCTGACTCTCCTATCCTCACACGAAAATCATTTCCAGAAAGTCTCGACTGTAGCACCAGCAGCACCTCAAAGTTTGCACTTTTTTCTAATTATTTTATAAAGTTTTAGTATTTTTACTAAAGACGCAACCTATTCTTATTTTTGTTTACGCATCGAGCTACTGTTGTTACTGCAAGTTCAGGAATGCTAGTTACCGTATAGGTTTACCTCCCGAGAGCGGCCATGACCGTGAGATGCCAACATCTTATTGTGAGCATGAAATGTGCCTCACTCCGGAGCCACAGTGACCAGGTGGGAGACACACTGCCATTCATTTTATTAACAGTTTATATTTTCCTGTTAGGGTTAAATATTCCTAAGTTTAATGAAAGTAAGCCTGGGAGTTATTATTAATAATAATATGTTTGTATTTAACCAGCGAAGGAACATTTAAAAATGACACTGGTTTAGTAATATTGTTGGTGAAGTCTTTCAAATGATTTAGAAAAATATTTTATATATATTAATCCTTTTCTTTTTTACATCTAAAAATATTTTACGATCTTTTAATTTTTCAAAAAATTTTTTTAAGAGCTTTCACAAAAATATTAAATAATTTTCAAATCTTATCCATAGATATTAGAGGCCTCAGTATTTTATGGACGTTGCAGGGAATCAGACCTGTGACTGGAGATACTGGAGCTGGAACTCTGTTTACTAGACTGTCTCACGTTCTATAAACTTGGCCTTATTGCTAATTGCACCATAGAGGAATGGGGATTGTATTTTGGTTCTCAGAGGCAAACCCAAGAATAGTTCTGCGTGTTCTGCTCCATTAACCTTAGAAAGTACAATTAGCAATAATCGCTCCGGGGCTGCCAACGAGGCTCTGAGTCCAGGTGGAATATGTACTGCTTTATCCAAAGGTATTCTGTGAATATTTGTGGGGCCCCAGGAGACTCCATGTTCTCCAGAAAATTTATAGAATATTTATAAAGTGCCATCATATTCCATAGTGCAGCATGCAAGGATTATTTTCTTTTCTCAATAATTCAGGGCCCTGGTATTTGCTTTTAGCAAATCCCTCTCCATTCTTTCTAGTGAGTCTGTAGGGTCTAATCAAGGGGTTAATATCTGCAGGCCAGAAACTTACCTGGGAGCCCAAATACCGACATGATGGGATAAAAGAGGCGCTGTAGAGTCCTGATCCATGGCTCCTCCATGATCCTGCCTGAAGAAATAAAGTATTTAACTCCAAATCTCCCGTCACACTTAATGACCAGTATCCAACTGCCCCGTTACACTGCACGACCAGAATCCAACTGCCCCTGTCAAACTGCACACCCAGTATCCAACTGCCCATGTCACACTGCAAACCCAGTATCCAACTACCCCTGTCACACTGCACACCCAGTATCCAACTGCCCCGTTACACTGCACGACCAGAATCCAACTGCCCCTGTCAAACTGCACACCCAGTATCCAACTGCCCCTGTAACACTGCAAACCCAGTATCCAACTACCCCTGTCACACTGCACACCCAGTATCCAACTGCCCCGTTACACTGCACGACCAGAATCCAACTGCCCCTGTCAAACTGCACACCCAGTATCCAACTGCCCATGTCACACTGCACACCCAGTATCCAACTACCCCTGTCACACTGCACACCCAGTATCCAACTGCCCCGTTACACTGCACGACCAGAATCCAACTGCCCCTGTCAAACTGCACACCCAGTATCCAACTGCCCCTGTAACACTACACACCCAGTATCCAACTGCCCATGTCACACTGCACACCCAGTATCCAACTGCCCATGTCACACTGGATGACCAGAATCCAACTACCCCGTCACACTACACACCCAGTATCCAACTGCTCCTGTCAGACTGCACACACAGTATCCGACTGCCCCTGTTACACTGCACACCCAGTATCCAACTACTCCTGTCACACTACACACCTAATATCCAACTGCCCCTGTCATGCTGCACACCCAGTATACAACTACCCCGTAACACTGCACACACAGTATCTAACTGCCCCTGTTGCACTGCAAACCCAGTATCCAACTACCCCCTGTAAGACTGCACACACAGTATCCAACTGCCCCTGTCACACTGCACACCCAGTAGCCAACTACCCCCTGTAACACTGCACACCCATTATCCAACTGCCCCCTGTAACACTGCACACACAGTATCCAACTGCCCCTGTCACACTGCAAACCCAGTATCCAACTACCCCCTGTAACACTGCACACACAGTATCCAACTACCCCGTCACATTGCACACCCGTAACTGCCCCGTAACACTGCAAACCCAGTATCCAACTACCCCCTGTAACACTGCACACACAGTATCCAACTGCCCCTGTCACACTGCACACCCAGTAGCCAACTACCCCGTCACACTGGACGACCAGAATCCAACTGCCCCTGTCAAACTGCACACCCAGTATCCAACTGCCCATGTCACACTGCACACCCAGTATCCAACTGCCCATGTCACACTGCACACCCAGTATTCAACTACCCCCTGTAACACTGCACACACA